GGGGGGGGGGGGGGGGGGGGGGGGGAGCTGCATAAAATGATATACAAATTTTGTCTTGTTTAGGATAGACGAATGTCGCAAATATCCGTGCTAAGCCCAATGTTTACGTCGAATTCACGTCATATGTATAGTAATTGCGTAATCGCTTGCAGGCGTGAAAACACAAACCTTATGACAACTAGTGATGTTTTATAATGAAAATAAATTGACTACATTGGTTTTAATTCATCATCCGTTTTCAACATAAGCCTCAGTTGATGCACAAATGGAGCACTCGGTGTCTCGCCGATACAATACCACAATCAACAGTAGACTTTCATCAAATTGTGGATAAAACAAATACCTTTGCCCATCACTACGCCTATATATTACGTTCTCTTTGCGAAGATTCTACGTGGATGTTGACTTCAAGACGATTATTTGATTTTCCGATTAACAACATTGTCATAATTTCACAAAGTATGGTATGCGCAGATACGACATAGCTAAATCGCCTTGATAAGGTGTTTATGTATGATTTACATTAGTAATAATTGGTCGCGAAGGTCATAGGATTTAGACGTAACCTACAATAATACTTCGGTTACTATTTTAAGCAATATTTATAGCTAAGAATAATACGTCAATTTTTTAAGATGTGTCTACGGTTCTCAGAGCCCAATTAAATGAGTATTTGTTATCATTATCGCTGTAAAAATTATATTAAACTTATATTAAATAGTGGTATTTTAGATCGTATCCGTTTTATTCAGTTTTAAAAATAAAAATCAAGTTCTACGATAAACACCATTGCTACGTTCAATTGCATAAAAATGTATCTGCACAATAGCTAAACGGATCTCCATAAAAGGCGTAGACGTGGAACATAGTTTGGAGGAACACATAGGCTATTCTTTTTTTAATTACGCGCGATCGGAGTCGTGGACCATAGTTAGTATACAAACGCAAGCTGCGAAGTCCAATGCGTACAAAGAATCATTGTTCCGTTTGCTTTTAATAAAAGGAAACAATCACTTATTATTAAAACCACAAGGCGCGTATATTTTATAAATACATCCTTTAAAAGATTGTTGTAAAAAAAAATCAAAGTAAAAAAATATTGATAAAAGCGCAATATCAATGCAAACTATTATTTGATAGATTTGTTAATAAAACAGATCTTACTAATATTATAAACTAGCTGTCGTAGCTGTGTAGCTGTATAAACTAACTAACTAGGATGGATGTCTGTTAAAAGGTAACTGCCAAACGGCTCTCGATGAAATTTTCCATAGATATAGAACATCGTCTAATAGAGCACATACACTACTAATTAAGTTTTTTTTAAATTCCAACAGGTAGGGATTAACGAAAGTTGTTTTAATCGAAACTGTCATAAAACACGTGAAACTCAGGGAACGTTAGCCGCAACATGGCATGACATAATCTCAATTGTGAGGTCAGTGACGCGCCCCCGCTCGGCACACATTGTATAACTCAATTATTGAAGATATTTGCCCCATTTTGGATACATACTTATACTTAGCTTTAATCCTGCTTCACATAGCACCTTATTAAATATTACTAGTTGTCATCCAAACTTCCGTCCACGCGAAATAAAAAAAAATAAGTAGCTTAAGTGATCTTACAGACTATACATAAAACATATGTGCCAAATTCATTATTCATTCATCAAAATCAGTTGAGCCGTTCCGGAAATACCTTCAAACAAACATCCATCCATTTAAACATTCGCATTTATAATATTAGTAAGATTTTGAATGCATACTTATACTTTGCTTTAATCTTGCTTTATATAGCCCCTTATTAAATACTAGCTGTCTCCCACAACTCCGTCCGCACGAAATAAAAAAATAAGTAGCCTATGTGTTCTTCCAGACTATGTTTTATACAAGTGCCAAACTTCATCAAAATCCGTTGAGCCGTTCCGAAGATTTCTTCAAACAAACATCCATCCATTTAAACAATCGCATTTATAATATTAGTAAGTATTATTGTATTTAAAAATTTGAAACAAAAGACAACTACAAACTAACGATACTCAAAGGTTAGTTTAAGTAATAAAAATGTTTTCGTCAAAGAAAAACTTATCCCTATTACCAGTAAACATATTTAACATTTTTTCAAGAAATATACCTTTTTCTATTATTAAATTAAGGTATAATTAGGAGCTGAGTCCAGTAAGTAATGACGCGTGCGCATGCGCGGCGGAAACGTCAATTTATCGCGCGAGTTCGCTAACTAGACGGCTTGCGAATTGCACCGGCTCATTGTGCGACTCACCACGGATGACCCTCTTTGAACTTGCAAAGACAAAGGTTTTCCTTAATTAAATAAATGAATTTTGGTACATTTAATTTCTTTATTTTTGTTGTAAATGGTGGGAAAGGAACGAGCAAACACCGGAAATGTTGACCTAAAAATTAATAAATCTTACTTATATTATAAATGCGAAATTTTGTATGGATGGATGTTTGTTACACGGTATCTGAAACTGATCAATGGATGTTGATGAAATTGGGCACAGACGTAGAACATAGCCTGAAAGAATACATAGGCTATTAATTAAGTTTTTTAATTCCGCGGGCATCAAGTAGTATTTTACAATCAGCAAATTAATTGTAATTTTTTGTACCATAATAAATATTTTTATCACGCGTGAATATAAAAAAAATATTTTATAAATTCAGAATGTGAATACAACTGTTTAATTAATTAATATATTCGTGCACAGCTTTATAATTTTGTTATTGTAATGACGTAACTCACCTGTTGCCCGTAAAAGTGGCGTGACCGTCTTCCAGTTTGAACATTGAATCTTTGTACCCCCAGCCATACCATTTCAGTAGTTCCTGTCTGAAAAAACATAAACAAATCATTATTTTATCAAGCTGTCGCCCGTGATTCCGTCAGCGCGGAATTAAAAAATAATATTTAGTAGCCTGTGTATTCTTCCAGACTATGTTTTACATCTATGCCAAATTTTATCAAGAAGATACCTTCTAACAAACATCCATCCACAAATCCATACATTCATACATTTGCATTTATAAGTTAAATTAAATACGGTGAACAACATTCTTACGGCGATGAAAAATATCATCATCCAAAATCTGCCCAAGAATTTCAAAAATATGTGTGAATCAACATTAGGCTAGTCACCCCTAATTTAGGCTGGGTAGGCTTTCGGCATAAATTAACAACAATCTAAGTAAGTTTTCACTGCCGAAGCACATATACAAAACATGTTTAAATGCCAATAGCCTTATGGTTAAGGATTCGGACACCTGACAACGTTATCGTGGGCTCGAATCATGGCGTTTGACTAATGTCTTGAACCATAGCATAAGCCTAGAGTCTATTTGGCAGTTTTTAGGGCTTTAATTAATATTATAGACTGACAAGGATATCTGAATCTGCGAGCATAAGTCAGTTTAAATTATGATAGCTCACTAGCGCCCTCCAGTCAATGTCAAAAAAGTGTTACAGGGTCCTTTTCGTACTATTACTGTAATGTAATGTTTTTTTCTTTTATGCCATTTTCTACCCATGTAGGTTTTATATATTTTCTGGCAGAACTTACAGGGATAGTAGCGTCTCTCATCGACCTTATCCTATCCTTGTTTATCTTCCTAATATTATAAATTCGAATGTGTCGATGGATGGATGCTTGTTAGAAGGTGTCTCCGAAACAGCTGTATGGATCTTGATAAACTTTGGCAAATATGTAGAACATAGTCAAGTCAATTAAGTATTTTTTTTTAATTCCGCGCGGACGGGTCGACGTTGACCCTGTTAAAAATTGTTACGTATACTTTCCTCATTAAGGCTATAAGTGAATGTTTTTTTAATAATAATTATTTTGGCAATAACATGCACTTGACCACACGGACTCAATGTCATTGCAACTTTATTTACATCGACTTGGACGTTACAATTTTTAATAAACTTAAATTTTTAACATTATATTAACTTTACAATTTTATGAATATACTTACGTAGGAAGATTGAGGTTATCTTTATAACTGTCGAACCCGATAACTAAGCGCATACAATTTTGCTTCTCCCAATATTTAATCTATTAGTTACAAACATATGCGATTTAAGAGTCATAAGCTGCGCATTCATGGTAAGAGACAAGGTAATTAGGCCGGCAAAGACACGTTGCACAAAACTATGCGGTTATAAAAAAAACATACAGACGAATAACCTCCTTATTTTTGAAGCCGGCTAAAAACTGCAGATGTATAGCGGGCTTTACTCCTTTATCACTTTATTAAACGTTACTCAGAGACTTTTAAACCGTATATCATAACTGCATCGTACCTTTATTTACTTGACAAGATTTGTATATAACGTAATTTGCAATGATCCTAACTGCAAAGTGGTGTTGCACGTTTGCTTAAATAATACTCAAACAGTGGAATACAAATTACAATCTTACTAATATTATAAATGCGAATGTTGGGATGTATAAAAGAATGGATGTTTGTTACAAGGCATCTACAAAAGGGCTTCGACAAAATTTGGCATACATATTAAACTTAGTTTGGAAGGACACATAGGCTATTAAGTTTTTTTTTTAATTAAGCGCGGACAGAGTCGCAGGCGACCGCTAGTTTTGTAATAAATCTAAGTTAATATATACGAGTATATTTATATTTAAAATATAAAAAAATATAGCGTACATTATGACAATAACGTATCAAATATCCATAACTGACGAACGTAGATGCAAATAATGATGAAAGTCGTCTTCCACACACCTTTTATAACCTTTTTAGTGTATTCGGCAGTGGAAATCAACTGTTAATAAATAAGTTCCAAATAACTCAACCTCTTATCGGTCCTTTCTGTTATCTAATCTGTGGTACAGTTTTTATAACCTATATTTATATATTCAAGTAATATGGCCTTTAAGTGTTCTGTATTTTATTAAAAAAAAACGTAATTCAGTCCAGCAATAACTGATGAAGGGACCGGGTGCTCTGAAACTAGCCAGTACCTTTAGACTACACGGGCATTTGACCATGTTTACCATTGTATCGAGAACTGAATTAAATTATTTTCCGTTATTCTTTTTTATGTGATAAGGGGGCAAACGAGTAACGAGAACTAAGCCAAATTTTACTGAAATTTGTGAAGCCGTTCAAGAGATAAATACATTCTAACAATTGTATTTATAATAACTTTTTTTCGAAATCTAGCAAGAATTGATTAGTAGATAGGCTAGTAAAAGTAGTATGGAAAATGTAAACGACCTGATATAATTTATTTGGTAGAACTCGGAAATTCAACTCCGATAGGTAGATAAGATAATAAAAAATCATCACTTGATTCATATAGCGCGTTATAAATTGTAAATACACGATAAGAAATTGCCTACAAAATCTAAACAAACTTGATATAAAATTATTAATATATTTTATTTGTACTTTTTTCTTAATATAATTTGCATTTTTTTCATACATTATAAAAAGTTCAATCTGAATTCCTTGAACATTGCCTTTTATGGTTTGCTGATTCGAAACAATAAAATATAAAATGCATATTGTTGTGTTAATTCTGTAATATTATGTCATCATAATATATTTCTGGTTAATTAATCTTAATCTTATCTTACTAATATTATAAATGCGAATGTTTAAATGGATGGATGGTTCGATGTTTTTCGATCCATTTCAAGAACGGCTCAACGAATCTCGATGAAATTAATGTAGAATAGTCTGGAAGAAGACATATCTTACTTATTTTTTTTATTAAGCTTGGACGGAGTCGCGGGCGACAGCTATTCGTTAAATATAAGGCGCGCGGTAGGAATTCCCCATTTTCATTACTAGTCATTCGATGACGTTTTCTTCCTTTTGTATGGCTTTTAAAATTTCCTTTTTGACGCAAATATTCGACAAAAATTTTTTTTTCGATATTTGTGTGAACTCATATTTATTTGGTCAAAGCTATTAGATTCAACAGTCAAGGGTAAATATTACTTTGGTTTATTAACTGAATACAGAAGAGATAGTGAACTGTTTTATATGGGAAATAAATTAATCTGTGAAAGAAATATAGTCGGCTAAAAGAATCGATCGAAGTGTTTCATAGAAATCAAATATTTTCGCTTATTATAATATTGTTGGGTAGAGCAGCTTAGTGTTACCATTTTATTGTCGGTCATTACATTTCTTCTTTTAAAATAATTTCAAACGTAATTTTCAAAAGAGCTTCTTAAAAATTTGGCGCGAAGTGCTTTCGTTTATAAAGATATCTTCGCATTGAAATGCTTTAGTGTATTAGTATTTTTAGATCTACGCATAGTTAATTATATCAAGAAAACTGGAGCAAGTCACTTTTCGCGTTCCATAATTGCTATTACTTCTTTTATAATACAAATCGTGTGTGTGTATTTTACTGTATTTTACGAAAAATTATACAAAAACGTGTTAAAAATTAATAAGTACAAAATTAACGATAGATATCTTATATTATCGTTTAGTAAACAAATAGACGATAGACCAAGACTCACCTTTTTCTGGGAATAACACTTTTAACTTTTATTATCGTTTCTGAATCACTCACACTTTTGGTATTGTTTTTATCAATTAAACTATTCATAGTATCACTTTTAGTCGCTATATTTATGTTTTTATTTACTAATTCCGTGTCCTTCGGCATATTTTTCGCGTTTGTTTCAGACGAAGCTGACATTTATAAGGGACGACGATTATAGATTTGCGTCGGATAACATTTGGTTCGATTTTTATATTGTTCGCGCAGCCTGCCGCGCATGTGGTGACGTACTGCTAGTAGCAAGGGGATGCTAGCTTCAGCGCCATCTTTGTTTTACATCGCACACTAGTACAAGCACGGCATATTTGGAGCGCTGATAAATATTTTAGATATTTTTAAACCGATCCGATAGATGCCGATTAATCATATAAATTCGGTAAAATAAAAAAATATAGATTGAATGGTCCAGTAAAATAATAATTATTAAACTTTATTTTATTAACATTACAAAATTAGTTCCTTCCAACTGGTTGGTACATCTGTTGATATGGTAAGGGCATAGAAATGGGATTTAATGATATTAGATTCATTTGTCGATTAGATGCTCGATTGATGACTGGATAATGATACTGTCCCAGGAAGGTTTGGTGGTGGTGTTGGTCAGGATTCGATGCTTCAGGATTTGGCGAATACGGTAATTGTTGATTAAATAATACTCGATTCATGTTAAGGTATCCAAGAGTTTGCGGGTTATTTACATCGCCAAATGACATTTGCTGATATGGATTCTGTTGATAATAACCTTGATCCGTACCATATGGAAATTGTGGTACATTCCATTGTATATTTTGGTGAACTTGAAACGATTGTTGATTTTTACCTGGATTTTTTGTAGTTTCGCTTACATTTGGAATTGAAGTGACAGGTTTGTCTATGCCCGCGTCTGTATTTGTATCGTTAGAATCCAATGGTATGTCCGTTTGGTTTTCAACAACATCATGACTAGTTGTTTCATTAGTCTCGTCAAGTTCATTCAGATCCTTTGAAGTTGTATTGTTTTCATAATCTGGAGTGTTTGTAGTGGATATGTTAATTTCAACACTATCATCAACCTTATCTAAATTATCGGCAGGTGTAGTATTCAAAATAACGCTGCCTTCGGTTCCATTTTTCTTAGTTTCCGCTTCGAGGCGTCGTAATGTTTTCAAAGATATAAAAATACCAGGATCAACTTTTAATTTCGATGCTAAATTTAAGTCTCGGGCGCATACAACGCCCAGGAGTAAAACGATCGTTAAAGTTATCTGTAAAAAAATAGGTTAATTTATGAACAGACTTGCAGTCACCAACAACTCCTTCCGCGCAGAATTAAAAAAAATCTTAATAGTAGCCTATGTGTTCTTCCAGACTATATTCTACATATGTGCCAAATTCATCAAAATTTTGTTTTTGTATTTTGTTAATTAAATACAAAAATACAATAAAATTGTTTCTTTCTATTCCTACTTTATTCTCCAAAAGTATATACAGAAATAAAACATTAAACCCAATATTGAGGAGTTGATTAAAGGAACTTACCAAATATTTAACGGCCATGGTTTAAACTTGAATGTGCAAATATAATTTTGGGTTCATATTTATATGCGCGATTTAATGGAACCTAACACCTCATTATTTTGTTGGGAATTTCGTCATCCGTTTAATTAACAATATATTTTAATGACATCGCGATTTATAAATGAGGACTTAATGATTTTAGATTGATGCAATAATTTTTCATTATTTTATTAGTCATTTACGATATATCCAATTTACTTAAAATTACAAATATGGTTACTAAAATCGTGTTCAGAATAATGGTATAAATGTATTAGAAAATCCAGTCTCATTTACTCTTTTTATTATTCTGTTACATAGAAATAAGTTTACCTGACAATTCCCAAAGATCGCAATAATGTGTGGGACAGTTGAACTTGAGCTAAGTGCTGTTCGCGCAAGTTAATGCGCATTAGTCCACTTCTTGTACACTCTTGGGACTACGGCGATCGAAAAGCGGGCCGATGCCGGGAGGAGTTTATTAATCTTACTAATATTATATATACGAATGTTTGGATGGGTGGATGTTTGTTAGAAGGTTTCTCCAGAACAATTGCATGGATCACGCTGATAGCCATAAATGTAGATAGTCAAGAAGTACACATAGGATACAAATTATTTTTTATTTCCGCGCGTATGGAGTCGCAGACTATAGCTAGTTCCTTTATAAACCTTAGGTATAATGATACGGTGTAGTAGATAATCAAGAATATATGTGATTTTTGCCTTAGTACTTGCTCATTTTTGTTTGAAAATTTTCCTGTTTAGCAATTGTATAGAATAAGCATCTTGTTTTTGATAGCCTTTACTTGAAATCTTAGAAACATTGTTATTTCTTGGACTATACGTAAGAGCATCTGGAATTTAAGTAAGTTTAAATAAAGGGCAAATTTTTATTGTAAGAAACCTAATTTTGTTTAAGCTATACCGTGGTATAGCTTACACTGTGAAGAAGTTGCTCAAAACTTGATTTCTTTTTCTATAGAATTTAATAAAATTAAAGTGTGTGGATGTCATATCAAAATATATAATTTCATATTTCGCTTCCGCACACATAATATATTTGCGTCGAAGATTACGAAATTTCATTTCTGTCCATATGTCTGTCCTTAAGCCGCGTTTGTTTCGTGTCGTCACTGAAACAGGGCAGATAGCTGATGCACATGGGCATATTATATGCTGGTTCAAAGAGTATATAAAATGGGCTAGTTTTTTTAAATTTTGTATTGTGACGGAGTTGCGGGCGTTAGTAATAAATATGACGGCGGTAGTGGGTTGCCGCTTGGTGGAGGGTTCATGGTGCATTTTTAAATGACAATAATAATAATAACGTAGGAAACGCGCGATGGTTCAATGTCCGTCCCAGTCGACAGCCACAGGAGAAGTGTTCTGCTGCCGTGCCTCGGCTGGTAAGGTGTTGACCCATCGAACGCCGACAGACGGCGCTGGCGTCACTTTTCGTAGTAAACTCGACTGCCGCAGTGGCGCTAGTGTTGCGTTGATTACGACAAATAAATAAATAGGTGAAAAAGATATGATGCATCCATTACATTGTTTATTTTATCTATAATATAAAATAAAAATGAATCGCAAAATGTGTTTGTAAGCGCATAACTCAACAATGCCTGGACCAATTTGGCCAATTCTTTTTTTAAATGTTCGTTGAAGTTCAAAGATGATTTACGGCGAGAAAAATTCGAATAATTGCCGGGAACTATTTTTTTTTATCTCACGTGGACGGAGTTGCGGGCGACAGCTATCATAAATATTAAGTTTAAAATTTTTATGATTTTTTTATTTATGTTTTTTCATCTAATAATATTTTTGAAAGTATAGGTTAGGAAAATATAAATATTTAAACTATAGTATTTTTTATATTATTTATTTGTTTATTTACACTTATTAAACATAAAAATGAATTATTATTACAATTTAAATTGAGAGTACACATATATTTACTTATAATAACCAGGGCTTTCTAAATATGGGTCCCAAGGGTTTGATTCTTTATCTTGAAATAAGAATGGGGATTGATACATTCGTGGAATGTCATCTACATCATTTGCTAACGGTCCTTTACGCATTGGTATGTAATACATCGGTACATCATTTGTCATTTTTTTCATCATATTCGGTACATTATACTCTATTTCAGTTTCTGGTTCCATTAATTCTTGGTTTTCTTGGAACATTGGATATGCATAAGGTAATGTTGGGTAATTTGGTTGTTTGAATACGTATTTAGGTTGTAAAGGCATTTTAGGAATTCTCTTGAACTTAAATGGATTGAAATTCTGTGCTCTTTTTCCTGCTGGTACCATAATGTAGAACTTATTCTCTTCCTCTTCGATTACTGGTTCAGGAGTTGATTTTTCATTTTTTTCTTTTTTTGATTTGGATTTTGTAGTTTTATCTTTCTCAGTTTCATCATCTTTGTCCGTAGTTATTTCTTTTTTTGTATTCTTTTCATTCTCTTTACCTTCTTGTACGCTTTTATCTTCTTTTGGCATCGGGGATCCATGAATTACTAAAAATGTTAACGACGTCACAGCTATCTGTAAATAACATTTTAGGTTAAAAATCTATACAATTAATAAAATTAGAGTGTCTGTATGTACAATAATATCGAAAAATCGCGAACATCGCGTGTGCAACAAGAAAATGTTAAATTTTTATCTTCTGTCAGTCCGCAAGTTCGCGTTTGTTCTGGCACTTTTACGGCTTCTGTGTGGAGGAGTAAAATAGACTATTTCTTTTTGAATCCTCCTCTAGTATGGTAATAGAAATTGCAATTAACGGCGTAATAAGTGTACATTTTGGATATGTTCACATAAAAACATGTTGTCTCTGTTTTTACATAAGGAGTGAAAGAGATGGAAATTACTTACCAATATTATGAACTTCATGGTGACCGGTTCAAAGTCAATACACCAATAAATTACGCTTACGATTTCATACCAATTTATATGAAAATTTAAATCTAATTAAATCATTATTAGTAATTAGATGTAATAGGTACATTATTATTTATCGGAAAAGAATTCTAAATAAAATAGCTAAGGTATGAATCATTGCGACGACAATTAAGTACAATTAATAGGAAAGTAAGTAGTCTTGGGGAAAATCCACTATAAGAACCCCTCTTCATTATACTTTCAGCTATCTTCTAGTTTGATAGATTTGTTAAAAGAAATTTTAGTAGGCATTACTTATCGCTTCACCATTGATTTACCTTTGCATATTTTATTATAGCAATTTTAATAATAATAAGCATTGCTATTCAAACTCAACAGGCTTTGGAGGCAGTTGAGGTTTTCTATTGCGTTGGATTCAGCATTTAACAAAAACAACATACGGACGATTGAGAACATCGTCCTTTTTGAAGTCGGTTAAATAGTCTGATAACCGCACATCTGAATTTAGAAGAAGCAAAAAACATATACTAAAAACAAAAAACAAAACAAAACATAAAAGTTTTTGCATACATATGCACAAAACTTTTTTTATACTAATCATTATTTGCTTTACTCATCTAAACTTTCTTCTCACATATTATAGCTAATTATAACGGTCAATAACTTTCTAAGTACACTTATTGAAAATATATTAAAAGCCCTTCAAAGAGAAAGTGCTTTAAATTATAAACATATTGACATGTGCTCTTAAGTGACTGTAATTACTGCTGATTAGTCAATAAATTTTAGAGGGCAAGTGTATTTTAAAACCAAAGACTCTATTACACTTTTTAACTGATTGAAAACGGTGATAAAAACTGTTACTCGCGTATTACAATACAAGGAGCTTTTGAAAGGATTAAATATTATTTTATATTATTATTTTATTATTAGAATGTTTGAAAACGAATAAAATAAATATAAAATATAAAGGCAATCTGGCTAACATGGCCCGAGACCACTGAGCCCAAGATAGAGCGAACTGGTAGCGCACTGAGGACGCCCTCTGCCCCTCTACGAAGACATGGGCCTTGTCAAAACGAAGTCAGTCTCGAATAATTAAGTTTCTAAATAAATTTCTCTTTTTTTAATTTAATTTTTGAAACCCGCTCAATCCCACAATCGCGAAGCGTGGTCGAGAGGACTATTATTTGATAAATGCGCGTTAACCTTAATAATATGTCAATCGTCATTCACGCCGTTGAATCACTTCAGTATAACTTTTTAACATTATATTTTACTTCTTACTAATATTATAAATGCGAATATTTAGATGGATGGATGGATGGATGGATGGATGTTTGAAGGAATCTCGGGACCGGCTTAACAGATCTCGCTGAAATTTGGCATAGTTGTTGATACATAGTCTGTGCTACTTATTTTTTTTTTCATGTCACGCGGACGGAGTCGCGGACGACAGTTTTTAATAAGTTAAATGTTACATTCTTAAAAACATTATGTTTCATAATCAAAGGATATTAATTTTATAGTGATAGGTAATATAAAATTATTTATATCTCCGATCGATCAACGTTTTATTCCTTAATGCTTGCCATATTTACTGCTGTAATCCTTACGACCAGTAAAAGTTACTAACGAATCGATTTATTATCGAGTTATTTTATTTTTATTTTCTTTGAATATTTTGAATTCTATAATCAATAGATATAAAATATTTGAGAGTATAAATTTAATATAATTAATAAATAAATCTTCTTACTAATATTATAAATGCGAATGTTTGGATGGATGTTTGTTTGTTTGAAAGTATCTCAAGAACCATTGTATATATCTCCTTGAAATTTGGCATAGGTATAGAACATAGTCTGGAAGAACACATAGAATAATATGCATTCCTTAAAAAATAGCTAAGAAAGTCATTGTATTTTCAAGTCACGTAAAATTTAGGAAATTGCTATGCACTTATACCAAATTCGAATGAAGTCCATTTTGGACCATTAGTTCATTTTAAATGGAGAAGCATTTGAAGGGCTGTATTAAATATTATTTAAATTTAATTATAAAAACAAATTATTTTCGTTGAGAACACTAACGTTACGGCATCGACAAACCAACCTTCACAGGGCCATCGTGGTTGACTATGGCCTAGTCACCTCTGACAGGCTAGGCTTCGAGCTCCTCAGCGGGGACAGTGAGCTGATGGTGGACGAATAATAAAAAACGGCAATGTTGTAAAAAGATAGTAAAAATTATCATGGATTTACTCTGAATACAGAATTCTACAAATATTATTAAAAAAAAATCTAATTCAATAATATATATAGAGTTTTTGATAACCCTGGTAATGTCAAAAACAGTAACTTGGCAGCTCGCCATTGTTCCGACATAATGGAGGCTTGCCAGAGCATTTGGCAAGTCCTCATCATAACGGTAATATTCGGGAGCTTAATTCTGATGTGATTAGAATGTTAAATACGTATTATTACAGTGAGTTTTAATCGTGGAAACATTTGCATAAAAATATTTTTATCCCGTTCACTATCTTTTAAAAAACAAGGATAGTTATATGTTTATGTGGAACTTTCATATTCAACGTATAATATTCACTTCTAAACCATAAAACTATTGTTAGGAAAAAAATCCGAAAATGTGCCAGTGTTTTGACCCAACACTAGTCTTACTAAAATGTCGACGTTTATGCCACCTCACTATTCATTCTGACACTGGACTTTGTAACGAACGCACGTCTTTCGCGCCAAAGGGTTCTAATTAATAATGTCTAAAAGTATGAAAATACCACATACAATTTAGTAAGCTTTATATTTTATGAGGTGAACTAGCGCTCGCCCCCGACTCCGTCCGCGCTGTGTTAAAAAAAAGCATAGTTAGTATTGTGTTCTTCCACACTATGTTCTACATGTATGCCAAATTTCATCGATATCCGTTCAGCTGTTCTGGAAATACTTTCAAACAAACATTCGCATTTATAATATAATATTAGTAAGAAATATAATACAATACTTAGTATGTTTTTACTTTAGTAAATATGACTAGAAAACTTGTCAGTAAACTTTTACCTGTTGTAAGTTAACCATATAACAATAAGTATATAGAGCCCAGAAAGTGTAAGGGCCACGACTCGGTCCCTATTTTTTTATCATTCACGCTTCGATAGATCCTCTGAACGGCGTGATGATTTTATTAACCCAAGTTGTACTTGCGGTAGAAAAAGCTGTTGCATTTTAATTACGATGAATAATGAATCGATGTAAGAAAAAAATAATAATCTTTTTCAGAAAGGTCATTAGTAAAGGTCAAAGATTGGAAATCAAAAGTAGTATGTCTTTTTAAATTGTTAGGCTTTAAGAATTACCATAAATCGTACTGGCTGGATAATAAATATATAAGAAAAAAAAAGTCTGTCCAAATTACATTCTATAATGCTATGAATTAGGTTAAAATATAACAAAAAATAAATAAATCGAGACAATTTAAATAAACGGTATTACAATAATTAAGAGAAATAGGTTGTCGCTTTATTTCATTTATTGTTTTTCTTAATTATTTGGTTTATTTTTTTTTATTTTAAACTTTTCACTATGAAATTTTATTATTTTTAATATTTTAATGCAGAAATAAAAATAATGAAATAAAGAACACCCCGCACCCCAAGTCTCTGACCCAAAAACAAGAGGAACGAAAAGGCGACAAAGCGCCGCCCACACTAAAATTATGCCCGGATAACAAACAAATTATTCATAAACCGGTTAAGATGTATGAATTAAGTTGCGCGAACGTTAAACTAAAAAAAAAAAACTAAATATTTCGAACGACTTTTCTTGGTGACAGTACCGATGACAGATCGTTCATGCGCGAACTTCGTGAGATTAAAATGTCGTTGGTGGTAAAAATATAAAAAAAAATCGATAACACATCATTAATAATGTAATTGATGATGCGACAATTTTTAAATAATCAAAATTTTAAGCTGACGAAGTCGCAACCAACCTTAAGTTTGACAATAAGATCCTATTTCTTAATTCCATTGCTGTAGATAAAAAAAAATCAAACGACACGAAAGACCGCCAGTTTCCATCCACGGCATCTCGATGGCTGGCAATCCACAACCGTGCGGTTTGCACGAAACATCCTGCCTCGCACATCAGCGTTACAGAATGGTCTATCCTCGGCGGTATTTCCAAACCGCTACGACTTAGGGTGCTTCAAGAAGCGAGCTCATCACCACCTCAAAGGCCGGCAACGCATCTGCGGTTTCTCTGGTATTGCTGATGTCCATGTGCGTCGTTGAATACCTCGGTGTTAACGCAGCTCGTTTGCCCCCTTCTATTATAAAAAAAAAATTAAGATAGTCTAGTCATTAAAAAAACAGCGGTAAGTCTACACTGTCATTTATAACTTACAACCTTAATGCAATGTATAGGCATTATACGACAGAAGGATAGACGCAGTGCTTAATGCCTATTTTCATTAAGCGAGCCAAGCTTGCGGCTATTTCAGACGCAGGCACTCCAGTGGAAACAACAGTTGACCCAGCCGGTCGCTCACGGTTATCCGCTAAGTGGAAAAAGGTACTTATAGAGTTGATTTACGAGGCGTGGGTTGGTATCCGCGAATCAATTTAAACATGTCAGGTTATATCACGCCATCTATCGGTAACTGATTATGTAAGGATGCACCGGGAGTGTTAGGTCAGGGAGAAAATTACTGTGGGAGAAACGAGGTGTGTTATATTGACAGCTCATACTTGTTACTGTGGGTTTACACTGATGAAACAATTGGACTAAAACATACGAGTATCGTCATCCCGTTCATTCTTTTAGTAAGAAATAGAGATAACAAATTATAAAGATGTTTTTTGTGCGGTCGTTTTGGCAGTGGAAATGGACAATAAGTTTATGCCATCCCCTGTGTACGATTTATCGATTGTTACAAAGAATGATAAAACGATGATTTGCATTTTAAAATAAAATCGATTTTAACATTAA